TTCCCGTGCCTGTCATGACCCGCAAATCATCAACGGATGTCACCCGCAAATCATCAACTGATGTCAGTTGTCACATTTTTTCCTTCAGTACCACGCACCAGTGGCGTAGCTAGGGGAGGGCGGGTGGGGCGGCCGCCCCGGGCGCCGACCCTAAGTGGGCGCCACAAGGAGTAGAACAATTAATTGAAAAGCTCATTTTAAACTAATTTTAAGCTGAATTATTAAAATATATACAGTCAAAGTTAAGAAAATAAATGACTTCAATTCGTTTCACATTGATTTAACTGTTTTCTATATCAATTTCGTGGCACCGAAATAGAAAATCTAGTGGGATAGTAACTGGTAAGAAGCTCCAGAAACCTTTCCAATTTATTTACTTTGGGGGGGGGGGGGATTTTTAAAAAACGGGGGGGGGGGGGGGGCGCTTTTTCAAAGACAGGAATAACTATAAATAGAATGGGAGGAAGGGGCGCAAAAATGTATATTCCGCCCCGGGCGCCGGAATCGGTCGCTACGCCTCTGCCACGCACACAGGTTAACCTAATTAATCACTCACCCACGGTGGCGTAGCCATGAATTTATCAAGCGGGGGTAGGAAAATTCATAATTTTTTCAATCACTCCCCCTACTTACACATATATTCATCGAAAAAAAATTGAGTTCCGCAGTTCAATAACACTATATATATATATATATATATATATATATATATATATATATAAATATATATAATATATTTATATATATAATTTCCCAATGTGTTTTATAAACACACCAGTATGAGATAGTAGTGGATTAAATGACTGGAGTTCTATTTATACTAGTATGCTACCATTAGTAATGTAATATATGTACCCAATGACCTAGTGAGAACAAGTTTTTTTTTGCTGCTGTAAACAGTGCTTATTGTTTCTTAAAATATTTTAAGTTTAATGTGTTCCCAGTAGGTAAAAAAAAATGACGTGCATGTGTAAGGAAGCATTTCTGTAAACCAAAACTTAAAACTATTTAAAAAAAAACAACCAACAACAACAATTAACATAATTCTTCCCTCATCTGTGTACCATAATACTTGAAATGATTAGAAGCCTACAATTCTAAGAGGTATTATTTAAGTATTATGTACGTGGTATGAATGAAATTCGTTATCAGAATTGAGAACCAGCAGGAATGTAAATGTATTCGTAGACCATTTTTGTTTGTTAAAAAAAAACAACAACCAACTAGATGTCCTTATCTTGTCTATGGTTTATCTTGTGACGGACATAAGATAGTGCTGTTACAAGATCAGTACACTTCTCGACTTCTGTATTAACTACAGGCATTCAAGCTTTCAGCTCAATAACAAGCTGGAATGTACACACTATTTGGAAGATTGTTCAAAGAGAGGCAAATCAAGATTAACCTAAGCTAAATTTGAATTTCACGAGTAGCTTCCCCTTAAACGACGTGATGGCTCTGGTTTATATCAAACAATGAGATCATATAGAACTGTTAGTGACTGGGTCATTTATTTGAATCTATTTTTCCCACGTTTTCTTTAACTTGCTTTCGTCTCTGTTTGTCTTTCCAATCAAATCTTGCGATCGGAATTTCTGGCACTTCCCAGTTAGCTAGCGCGCTGAAATTTTCAGGGAAGCTTTGTTTTGGATGACAATTGAATATTCAATTGTTATTATTACTAAATTGATCCATGGAAACATTTTATTGATCATTTTAGACCGCTATATAATTGTACAAAAAACGTGGGGAAAAGGGGACATAACCCAGTAACTGTAATTTGATGAAAACAAGGTTCGGTACTCTCCCTCTTTGCTTACTGAGTAGTGTTCACGCGGTGTTTGTGTACAAACAACCGTAACAACTGGTGGCCAGTATGGGGGGAGACGATATGGTCGAGTGGTTGGGCACACGATTGCTATCCCACTCGACACGGGTTCAAATCTACGTGTTCTAGTCAGTAACGTATTCACACAACGTGTTTTTAACACGTTTTTAACACGTTTTTATTAACTCAGCTTCGCGTGGATGTGTTTGTTGTTAAAATTGACATCGAAAATTAGCCCACTTCTGATTGTTCTATAGTTCTGAAATTTGGCATGCAGGTTACTTTCGCCTAACAATTTCAGATGCAATCATAAAAACTAGCAATTAGAGACCGTAATTAGCTTAATTTAATTACGCCCCAAGGACCATAAAATTGAGGACATGATTTCTAAAGATACCGACAAGACTGGAGGCCTATAGACACAGTTACTTCGGCCCCAATCGATGTGAGCGCGCTGGCCGTGATCGTATAGTGGTTAGTACTTCGCGTTGTGGCCGCGACAACCCAGGTTCGAATCCTGGTCGCTCAAGATTTTTTTAGTCCGTGTATTTATAAACACTTTTTTAAAAACCACGTTTTTCATGTGTAGCAACGGACTAAAAAGGAGAAAATAAAATACTTAAAAAAAAAACTTTTTAAAAAACCACGTTTTTCTTGTGGACTAAAAAGTAGAAAATAACTATTTACATACATTTGATGACAAAAAACGTGGGTCGGGCAGATGGGTCGGGAAATTTGATGGTGAACGTACCCACGTTTTTTGTCATCAAATGTATGTAAATAGTTATTTTCTACTTTTTAGTCCACAAGAAAAACGTGGTTTTTTAAAAAGTTTTTTTTTAAGTATTTTATTCTTAACTCAGCTTCGCGTTTGTGGATTTGTTTGTTTGTTGTTAAAATTGACATCGAAAATTAGCCCACTTCTGATTGCTCTAGAGACCTGAAATTTGGCATGCATGCTACTTTCGCCTAACAATTTCAGATGCAATCATAAAAACTAGCAATTAGTGACCGTAATTAGCTTAATTTAATTACGCCCCAAGGACCATAAAATTGAGGACATGATTTCTAAAGATACCGACAAGACTTGAGGCCTATTGACACAGTTACTTCGGCCCCAATCGATGTGAGCGCGCTGGCCGTGATCGTATAGTGGTTAGTACTTCGCGTTGTGGCCGCGACAACCCAGGTTCGAATCCTGGTCGCTCAAGATTTTTAGTCCGTGTATTTATAAACACTTTTTTAAGAACCACGTTTTTCATGTGTAGCAACGGACTAAAAAGGAGAACGGACACGGTAACACATTGTTAACGGTGACACGGTTGGTACGCTGGGCATGCTAAAATACACATAAACACGTTTTTCCTTAACTCAGCTTCGCGTTTATTTGTTTGTTTATGGGAGATTTGATCACGTGATTCGTGAGTAGATCTCCACGCCAGCAACGTAAATTACACCCTTTCTCTGTTTAAAGCGTATCGGTCGCTCAAGATTTTTTTAGTCCGTGTATTTAAAAACACTTAGTCAAGTCATACTTAATCAAGTGATTAGATAAAGTAGAAAATAAACTATATAAAAAACTTTTTAAAACCACGTTTTTCATGTGTAGCAACGGACTAAAAAGGTGAAAATAAAATACTTAAAAAAAAAAAAACTTTTTAAAAAACCACGTTTTTCTTGTGGACTAAAAAGTAGAAAATAACTATTTACATACATTTGAGGACAAAAAACGTGGGTCGGGCAGATGGGTCGGGAAATTTGATGGTGAACGTACCCACGTTTTTTGTCATCAAATGTATGTAAATAGTTATTTTCTACTTTTTAGTCCACAAGAAAAACGTGGTTTTTTAAAAAGTTTTTTTTTAAAAGTATTTTATTTACGAGTTGTCTTTTTACGAGACTTTTATGCTATACAACTTTTACGAGTTTTTAATGCAAACAAACAGACAAAGACTAAAAAGTAGAAAATAATAATCATTAAAAAAGTTTTTAAAAACCCACGTTTTCTGATTGAAATAAAAAGTAGAAAATAAATGCTATACATGACAATAATGCAAGCGATCACTCTACTATAAGCGATCAAAAACGTGGGGCGCCGTGATTTTCTTACAGTTTCTAATACTGTTGACTCTCTACAAGCTCCCTAATAAAAGTCAATAGTATTATCTAATCAATAGTAATATAACTTTTACTTCGGCGTCCCACGTTTTTCATCGCTTATAGTAGAGTGATCGCTTGCATTATTGTCATGTATAGCATTTATTTTCTACTTTTTAGTTCAATCAGAAGACGTGGGTTTTTAAAAACTTTTTTAATGATTATTATTAATAGAATCGAATTAACTAAGCAGTGAAGAACTGAAGTTACCTTTTCAAACCTGACGGTCTATAGGGCAAGTGAAGTAGAGTTAATGTGTTTCTGTGACCTCCACATGTGAAGAGATAGTGTGGTCAGCACTATGCCCAGCCAACTAAGCAGTGAAACACACCATATTTTAGCATTAAGGCATGGGACTGAGTTTTCAGGCAATTGCTATCACATGCTATAATTTTCTCTTTTGGCCGGATAGAATCTGGTTCTAAAAATACATTGATATTTTTAAAAGAAATTTTGGACCAACAACATAACAAATGTTAATTTTTATCCAAATACTGAGAAGAATTTAATTTAATAAAATAAAAATGCTAAAATAACATTGTAGTCTCCCTTGCCTTGTTCAGCCAACTCGTAGTTCCAATCAGGGGCAGCAATGTGATGTCTAAAGTGCTGATTGGTTTGGTTGAAGAAATCAGATCTTGGGGAGTGGAGACACTCCCACCATAGACAACAACACAACTCCACACCTAACCTACACACACCCCAAGACACCCTATTTATCCCCAAAAACAACAGGACAGTCTACACACACAACATCTGTTTTAAAAAAAAACCACTTAGCTCTCTAAGGAGATAATTAGCACAGAGAAATCAACAGGCTGATGTTCTTGTGGGCTCTGTGTTGGCAGTTCTCAGTGGTCACATTTGGTCTGTTTTATGAACTGGACAACAACAAAATGTCCTTTATCAACAACAAAATGCCTCCACATCAACAACAAAATGTCTCAGCATCAACAACATAATGTCTACGCATCAACCACAAAATGTCTACGCATCAACCACAAAATGTCTCTGCATCAACCACAAAATGTCTCCGCATCAACCACAAAATGTCTCCGCATCAACCACAAAATGTCTCCGCATCAACCACAAAATGTCTCCGCATCAACCACAAAATGTCTCCGCATCAACCACAAAATGTCTCCGCATCAACCACAAAATGTCTCCGCATCAACCACAAAATGTCTCCGCATCAACCACAAAATGTCGCAGCATAAACAACAAAATGCCTCCGCATCAACCACAAAATGTCTTCTCATCAACCAGAAAATGTCTGATGAAAAACCACATCAAGTCTGCTTTTAACAAGAAAAATTCGGCAAGATTAAAGCAGACAAAAGTCTGATGTTAAACCAGAGAAAGTCTGATGTTAAACCAGAGAAAGTCTGATGTTAAACCAGAGAAAGTCTGATGTTAAACCAGAGAAAGTCTGCATCAGTCTGTGAGTCAAGAATCCCCGTCATCGTGTGAGCTGAGCATGGCCTTGATGGCCCTGGCCCTCATCTCAAGCTCCAGGAGTTCCATCTGGTCCATCATGATGGAGGGGAGAACATCATCAGCGGCGCCCTGCATGGACGCCATCAAATCATCCTCGATGTCTGACATTTCGTCCTCATCTTTGTCGTCCATCTCTTCATCTCCGCTGGCTGGTTCTTGTTTGATGTGAACATCATCTTCAGTCTGAAACAAGACAACATCATCTTCAGTCTGAAACAAGACAACATCATCTTCAGTCTGAGACAAGACAACATCTTCAGTCTGAAACAAGACATCATCTTCAGTCTGAAACAAAACAACATCATCTTCAGTCTGAGACAAGACAACATCATCTTCAGTCTGAAACAAAACAACATCATCTTCAGTCTGAAACAAGACAACATCTTCAGTGTGAGACAAGACAACATCTTCAGTGTGAGACAAGACAACATCATATGTGTGAGACAAGACAACATCTTCAGTGTGAGACAAGACAACATCATCTTCAGTCTGAAACAAGACAACATCATCTTCAGTCTGAAACAAAACAACATCATCTTCAGTGTGAGACAAAACAACATCATCTTCAGTCTGAAACAAAACAACATCATCTTCAGTCTGAAACAAAACAACATCATCTTCAGTCTGAGACAAGACAACATCTTCAGTGTAAGACAAGACAACATCTTCATTCTGAGACAAGACAACATCTTCATTCTAAGACAAGACAACATCTTCAGTGTGAGACAAGACATCATCTTCATTCTAAGACAAGACATCATCTTCATTCTAAGACAAGACAACATCTTCATTCTAAGACAAGACAACATCTTCAGAGTGAGACAAGACAACATCTTCATTCTGAGACAAGACAACATCTTCATTCTGAGACAAGACAACATCTTCAGTCTGAGAGAAGACAACATCTTCATTCTAAGACAAGACAACATCTTCATTCTGAGACAAGACAACATCTTCATTCTAAGACAAGACAACATCTTCAGTGTGAGACAAGACAACATCTTCATTCTGAGACAAGACAACATCTTCATTCTGAGACAAGACAACATCTTCAGTCTGAAACAAGATATCTTCAATTTGAGACAAGACAAGATCATCTTTAGTCTGAAATTAGACAAACATCATCTTCAGGCTATCTAATGTTTACATCGTCTATGTCAGTGTCTTTTTGTTACACAAAGTTCACAAAATCCAGTCATAAAACATAAATTAAAAATTTCAAAAAAATTAAATTTACAAAAATTAACTTTAGTATAAAACACAATTACATTTTAAAGAGAACAACAGCATTGGGAGATTCAATAAAAAAACTAGCAATGTGTTTGTTGTACAAACATTTTTGTGTGCATATATTAGAAAATTAACATTTAAGATAAAAAAAATATTCTATCAATGCCATCACACACAATGAGAGAACAAACATCAATCACCAAATGTTCTTACTTTACAAAATCTAATGTGAAATTATTAAGACAAAACTTCCTTTTTATTCTTCAACAAAGATAAATAAAAACAATCCACCCACCATCTCCTCCTTAATAACCAGCTCCCCATCCTCCGACCCTGAGGTGTACGTCTCCACCCCTTCCTCCTCCTCCCCCGACTCTGGGGGCTCGTGTTTGATTTCAACGTTTTCACTCTCCTGGGAAAAATAGATTTGTGAAACATTTCTTAAATGAATATAAAAAAAAAATGTCATGTTTACTTAAAGGAACATCACTCCTATTTAGCTAAATTGCCCAACATTTATTTGATTATTCCCCTTGCAACAGAAAAAAAAACAAGCAATGCCTATAATCACTTCGTTTTTAGATGTTTTAAATTATTTTGCATTTCATTTTTGGGCTTTAACAACGTTTATTCTTTAATCATTCTTTTTTTTTTGTCAACAATTTTATTAGGAAACATCAAACAGCAATAATAACGTTGAAGGGAGAGAAAATTTGATGGGTGATTTCCCTTAACCCTTCCCGTGACTTTTTGCTCCCATTTTTGATAGACCGGCAAGGATTTGTTGGATGACAGACGAGACGTTCTTACCTCCGTGTCTTGGGCTGGGTCTTGTTGGGTGCTGGGGATAGCAGAACACACATTAGGTTAGAGACGACAGCAGATCTAAACTAATAGCTAAACTCAACTAGAGAAATAGCTAAACTCAACTAGAGAAATAGCTTAACTAAACTAATAGCTAAACTCAACTAGAGAAATAGATAAACTAAGCTAGAGAAATAGCTAAACTAAACTAGAGAAATAGCTAAACTCAACTAGAGAAATAGCTAAACTTTAACTAGAGAAATAGCTAACCTTTAACTAGAGAAATAGCTAAACTCAGCTAGAGAAATAGCTAAACTCAACTAGAGAAATAGTTAAACTCAACTAGAGAAATAGCTGAACTCAACTAGAGAAATAGCTAAACTAAACTAATAGCTAAACTCAACTAGAGAAATAGCTAAACTCAACTAGAGAAATAGCTAAACTCAGCTAGAGAAATAGCTGAACTCAACTAGAGAAATAGCTAAACTAAACTAATAGCTAAACTCAACTAGAGAAATAGCTAACCTTTAACTAGAGAAATAGCTAAACTCAACTAGAGAAATAGCTAAACTCAACTAGAGAAATAGCTAAACTAAACTAGAGAAATAGCTAAACTCAACTAGAGAAATAGCTAAACTAAACTAGAGAAATAGCTAAACTTAACTAGAGAAATAGCTAAACTTAACTAGAGAAATAGCTAAACTCAACTAGAGAAATAGCTAAACTCAACTAGAGAAATAGCTAAACTCAACTAGCTGAAATAGCACAACTCAACTAGAGAAATAGCTAAACTCAACTAGAGAAATAGCTAAACTAAACTAGAGAAATAGCTAAACTTAACTAGAGAAATAGCTAAACTCAACTAGAGAAATAGCTAAACTAAACTAGAGAAATAGCTAAACTTAACTAGAGAAATAGCTAAACTCAACTAGAGAAATAGCTAAACTCAACTAGAGAAATAGCTAAACTCAACTAGAGAAATAGCACAACTCAACTAGGGGAAATATATACCTAAGAATAGGGTTTGGGACTATAAAGTCAAGTATAAAGAGTTTGAGATGTATGTAAGAAAAAACCCAACTAAGGACAAAACTACTAAGTTATGATAAAATAAAGGAGTTTAATACATTGAAAACAAATGGTCAAAATATTGCATTTGTGAATCTTGCTTTTATTATTAGAACAACTCTTTGCATTCTTAAGAAAGTGAGAGTACATCATCACTAAATTTGGCAAGTTGAAAAAAAAAAACAAAAAAAAAAACAAAACAATTCTAAAGGGAAGCTGGTGCTAAATAGAGGGACATAATAATAGGACAAAATAAAGTCGAGTAAAACGCCATGTCAAGCAGAAACAACAAGACAAAACATTTTTTTTCCATAGGGGCCAAACTTCTATTCACCATTTAATTTACATTAATTGAAACGCAATCAGATAGGTGTGGACAATCAAGGGTCAGATGGTCAAGAGAGCAGAGGAAGTAGAGCTGGACTGGATTTGTGATACAAATTAAAAAAAAAACAAAATATTAGACTAGGGAGAGAACTTACTGCCTGTCATTTTAGCAAAACAATATGACGATCAGCGCGTCACTGGGATCCGAACCCAGGCCCCCCTTGTATCACATTATCGTGCACGAAATCACAGACCACCACAAAACCAACTCGTGCAATCAGTTTGGTGCTCATAAAACAGAGTCAAAGATTTTTCTTGAATTTTTACTCACGCTGATGGTTTCAACAGCAACAGTTGGCCAACTGACAGTGGCCACAGGCAGTGTGTTTATCCGAGGCCAACCAACATGTGGACACTACCTGGACCCTAGATTTGGGAACCCAGTGTTGTGCTTAGCTAAGGCCACCCGTGATTTGGCCAGCCAGTATCGTATATAACTGAAACAAGCCTAGATTTGGCCACCTAGTGTAATGTTTAGCTGAGGCCTCCTAGATTTGACCACCAGGTGTTGTGCATAGCTAAGGCCACCCGTGATTTGGCCACCGAGTATTGTATATATTTGAAACAAGCCTAGATTTGGCCACCCAGTATTGCATATAACTGAAACAAGCCTAGATTTGGCCACCCAGTATTGTATATAACTGAAACAAGCCTAGATTTGGCCACCCAGTATTGTATATAACTGAAACAAGCCTAGATTTGGCCACCCAGTATTGTATATAACTGAAACAAGCCTAGATTTGGCCACCCAGTATTGTATATAACTAAAACAAGCCCAGATTTGGCCACCCAGTGTTGTATATAACTGAAACAAGCCTAGATTTGGCCACCCAGTATTGTATATAACTGAAACAAGCCTAGATCTGGCCACCGAGTATTGTATATAACTGAAACAAGCCTAGATTTGGCCACCGAGTATTGTATATAACTGAAACAAGCCTAGATTGGCCACCGAGTATTGTCTATATTTGAAACAAGCCTAGTTTTAGCCACCCAGTATTGTATATAACTGAAAAAAAGAATAGATGTGGCTATCTACTATTGTATATAACCGAGGCCATCCTAGATTTGTCCACCCAATATTGTATATAACTGAAACAACCCGTGATTTGGCCACCCACTATCTTCTATAACTGAGGCCACCCTAGATTTGGCCACCCAGTGAGTGTTGTATATAACTGAGGCCACCCTAGATTTGGCCACCCAGTGAGTGTTGTATCTAACTGAGGCCACCCTAGATTTGGCCACCCAGTATTGTGTACAACAAGGATCATTACCACGAGAGACAGGCCCTCGGCCCACTGTTCTAATCACCTGGGGTCCCATACAAGAGGTGGGAGGGGGGGGGGGTGAATTAGCGCCCCAGTCAACAAACGCTAAACTAGCCGACCACATCCCCCCGGCAGGCCACGACAAATAAATGAAAACTAAATGCAAAATCCATAATATTAGGGCCACGGGGGACTCCCCTGATGTAAACCTGTCTATTTTCGACCGTCGGCCACCCCTTTGCTCCCTCCCCCTCCCCCCCCCCCCCCCCCTGCGATGCATCAAAGGGCCCAGAGTTTTGTGGCCAGTTTATGAGCAGGCCACAGGAGATTGTTTTAATTTAATTGCTTTTGGGGGCAGATATTGTGCACAGTGTCAGGCCCGGGGGTGGAGACCGAAAGATAACTTGAACCCAACCCAACATAAACTCCCTCATACCTCCCTCCCTCTTCCACCCCCCACCCCCCTCCCCCAATGTCAGGCCCGGGGGTGGAGACCGAAAGATAACTTGAACCCAACCCAACATAAACTTTGTCATACCTCCCTCCCTCTTCCAGCCCCCCCCCCCCACCCTCCCAATGTCAGGCCCGGGGGTGGAGACCGAAAGATAACTTGAACCCAACCCAACATGAACTCCGTCATACCTCCCTCCCTCTTCCAGCCCCCTCCCTCCCAATGTCAGACCCAGGGGTAGAGCCAAAAAAATACATCGGTACAAACCCAACACAACATACCTTCTATCATGCTCTCTCCACCCCCACCCCCTTCCACCCCTTCCCTTTACCTCTCATTGTACTGAACAATGAAATGTTTCAACTGAACCCTATTTTCTTATAGCATTCAAAAAACTTGACGCAATGTAGGACACAGGGAAATGATTCTCCAAAGAACAGGCGGGGTCAGAGAAAGGGGGTTATTGGGAGAATATTTAAAAAACAAAAAACTCCCTACAAAACGTGGTGAAAAAAATTTAGAGTCGGCGCTAAAGTAAAGGTCGAAGGTTAATTAGAGTGTGGGTGAACTCCACAGCTGCAGGTGACTCCCCACACACGGTACTGCCAAATTGTTTGATTAATAATGCCATTTAATTAATTTAAGGGCATGGTGTCGCCTGCTAATGGGGCAGTGCAGCAAAGGGGGGGGGGGGGGGCTCAACACGTACATTTGAAAACGGCGCGAAAACAAAATGTCTGAAGCATGGGTCTAATGGCGCTTGTGTCTTAGACTCGATAAGATGTTTAAGGGACGTCCTACTTATGGCATGGTGGGGGCAGACGTATAGTGCCCAGTTGAAGGGCAGCAGTATATTGGTGTAACATTAGATAGGTATGGCGCTAACGATGGTAAGTGAGATCATGCAAGAAAAGTAACCCTGGCAAGATATTAGGCAATACAGATAGGCAATACAGATAGGTGATACAGATAGGTGATACAGATAGGCAATACAGATAGGTGATACAATAAAGAACTTTTCAAGGACAGCCTTTGACGTGTTGTGGACAAGGAATTTTTCTGGGCACTAAAAGGAGGACGTTCCTAATGGACCGTCAGGTTCAAAAGGGAACTTTACTAAAGGGGCTTCTGGATTTGAGTAGATGAAGTAGAGTGGCGGTATTATGTTTGGGTGTAGAGTCGAGTGTGTAGTAGGCTGTAGTAGATAAAGTGCAATGCTGGATGTAGTAAGGTGCCAGTGCTTGCGTCTACCAGAGTGCCGGCAGACAGAAAGACATACCTGATGTCCTGTCGGGTAGAATCAGGTGGGTGGCTCTCTGCTGGGACGTCTGCTGCTGGTTCGTCTGCTCAAAAAGTAAAAAAAAAAATGTTTTCATTTTACAAGAACAAAGATATAGTTAAATAACAATACTATTAGTTTATGGCTTTCATCATTCTGTAATCGTTTCGTATCATCTGCCTCCCGTTATAAAACTATTATCTGCCCTCTTATTATAAAAGTATAATACCATGTGCCCTTCCGTTTTAAAACCACCGTGTGTCCTCTCATTATAAACCTACACCAAGTGCCCTGTCGTCATATAACTGTACCTGGTGCCCTCCCATTATAAAACTAGACAATGTGCCCTCCTATTATAAAACTATACAATGTGCCCTCCCATTATAAAACTATACAATGTGCCCTCCTATTATAAAACTATACAATGTGCCCTCCCATTATAAAACTATACAATGTGCCCTCCCATTATAAAACTATACAATGTGCCCTCCTATTATAAAACTATACAATGTGCCCTCCCATTATAAAACTATACAATGTGCCCTCCCATTATAAAACTATACAATGTGCCCTCCCATTATAAAACTATACAATGTGCCCTCCCATTATAAAACTATACAATGTGCCCTCCCATTATAAAACTATACAATGTGCCCTCCCGTTATGTGTCCTCATGTAATCTCCAAACAGTTTGAAGAATGAAAACAAAAAACCATTGTCTAGACCAGTGGTTCCCAACCTTTTTTGAGTGGCGACCCCCTTTTATAAAAATTAAGTGACCCGCGACCCCCATAGAATTAAAAAGCCGAAATTAGTATGGAAATTAATAAGCACTAAAATAACATTTTCTAGTAGACTTTCAATATGAACTACTCTTGATAACTGTTTTATTACCATGAGTTAAATTGCATACTATTCACTAAACATTCGCGGTTACTTTTTTTTAAAGTATTTTTTTTTGTTAACGCCAACCTATGTCATTATCATTATCTTAATTGTGTTTTTAATCGAAAAATAGTGTTGAAAATCTATTCTCGAAAAGTCAATCAATTTTACCTTTGGTATGAATGGTGAAATTTACAATATATCCAAGATTTATTTTCTTCGCCGATTTTGCAGCTTTGATAAAAATGCCCCGAGATAATCATGGAGAGTGATAATATTCGTTCATTTTCCATGAAGCTTCAGGTTATGCTTATGTAGATTTTCGAACACATCTGCTAGGTATGATACTCTCTCCAACCACTCTATGTCGTTTTAAGTATACCAAAAGGTCTTGTTTCCTTTGCATTTCCAAGAACAATTTTATTTCAGATTTCAATTAAAAAACGCGATTCACAACAATTCATTTGACAGCCAGCACACTGTAGTGTAGAAGAGCAGAACCTCGTGACTTTATTTAGGTCTTTGCTCAGTTCTATAAAGGCTCCAGATTTTATATAATTTACCACTTATACCAGCAATGGAGTCTTGATGGCGATTGGTGAGGGCAGTGGTTAGGGAGCTAAATCTTTTCTGCTTTCTGAAAGCCCGATTTTGACCTAAACATAGATGGTGCACCATCCGTACAAACCCTCACAGCCGTTTTAATCATCCAATTAAAAAAAAAAACTATTTATTTTCTCCATGCTATCTTCACAAAAGAGCAACTCTTCTTTGCTATCATCTGAATGAAAATAGACAAAGACCAGCAACTGCGAACACGAACTCAAGTCTGTTGATTTATCAACTTGAAAAGCAAGCAATGGTGAAAGCTTAATTTCAATAAAAATGTGTTATTTAACATCTATGGACATGTCTGCTATAAGCCGCTGACTATTATTATTAGAAAGATATTTGTTGCATCTTTACTGCACTGGAATCCCCAAGAATTAACTTCACCATCTTCAACATGCAGCGTTTGATGAGTTTTTCTCCTATTGTGTTGTTTTTTTTGCTGGACATTTTCTATCGTGACTTCATGTGATGCTTGCACTAATGCTGTGTTTCCTTGGTGAAAACTTCCTGTTCGATCAAGTCTCTGACGTTTGCAACTAGCTTCATACCGACGAAAGAACTCCATATCTTTTTTGGTGTGTTTCGAATGACTCGTCTCAAATGACGTTTTAGTTTTGAAGATTTCATAAACTCGTGACTGAGAACAACTTTGTTCAGTACCCTTTGCTTCTTCTCTATTCCCTTTCCAGTGATGTTAGTAAAGCCGAATTTAAAATTTTTTTCTAAATATTTATGTTTTGTTTCTCATTATTAAGGTTTAGTATACCAGTTGGCGACCCCCCAGAAAGCCCTTCGCGACCCCCAAGGGGGTCGCGACCCCCAGGTTGGGAACCCGTGGTCTAGACAGAATAACAAGCCCCGCGCTCCAAAACAAATGAGGTTTTCTAACACCTACCAACAATAAGTATTAAAACAGACCCCCCCCTCCCCTACTACCCACCCCACCCCGGGGCGTTATTAAAAAAAAAGTCAACACGTGTGGCGGATAAAATTCGCGTCAAGCGACGCACCGCTCACGCGCTGTGACGCACGCGACGCGACACGCTTGGGTGCCCGCGTGAAGTCATTGTCCCAGCAACAATTGGAGACGGTCACGTGGGACTCATCTTACGTCCTGTCACGGACGTGATCAAAGCAAGGTCACGTGGTCACAGCCCATAGGAGGAAAGGGGGGGGGGGGGTTGAAGGGTCAAGGGCGTTTAATGACGTCATAGTGTTTAAAGTGCGAGATATAACTGATATAAATTCATATATATTTTTCTGCTGCATACACGACCTTTGTTCATAGGCAGCACACCTGAATATAATAGTCAATGGCCAGCATATCTGAGTATGATAAGCGGGCATTATATCAGAGTATGGTCAATGGGCATTATATCAGACTATGGTCCATGGGCATTTGAGTGAAAAGGCTGATCTTAAACAAATGAAAGTAAAAGTGGACGCTATGCGGATGTCAAAAGTAGACCGGTGACTTCCGGTCAGTGTAAGCATGCACCAGTTGAGAGTATGTTCACATGACGTCATATGCTTCAGCGATGGTTAAGTGTACGCTACTGGCAGTCTACGTCACCTGGTCAAAGCGGAATAAATGCTACTAGCTGTATATAAACAACGTTAAAGGTATGCTACCAGCTATGTTATACAGTCAACGCTGAAGGTATGCTACTATGTGTTTATACTATCTAGTCATCGCTACTAGCTGTCACGCTGTACATCCACCACTGAAAGTGTGATACTTGATTTCGATGCTACCTGGTCAACGCTGAAGGTATGCTACTAGCTGTCACGTTGTACATCCACCACTGAAGGTAGGCTACCAGTTACGTCACCTGGCCAGCGCCGCTGATCTAGGCCACCAGCAGTTGACGGCCTAGAGTGATTTACACCAAATCTATGCAGTGACTCCCATTAAAAGACACGTGACCGCCCAATAAAACATCAGCAAGTCGGCGGGCAAATCTAATACCCAACTCACATAGAAAATCCATTATTTTGTCAGCAAGCTTTATAAATATGGTTTAGTTATGCGCGATTTTTATGCACGATTTATACAAACGGGCCTTGGATTTGAGATGCACACAAAAAAGGGAGGTAAAAAAATAAATAAAAAATAAACTTCCAAAGATCAGAGTTTCTTCCCTTTGAAGAGCGAAGACAATGCCGGGGGGAAAAAGTGTTGGGATTTGTATGCTCTACACCGCGATCTGCAACTGTTGCACAGACAGGGGCGATAAAACAAACGAATGTGTTGAAACTAGGGGAGAGTACTGCACCGCTGTGACAACGACTCGTCTTTTGTGCACGAGGGTCATAAATACAGGGATCACCCCCTTTCCACCCCCAACCCCAACGGTCGGTATTTAAAAAGAAAAATGGCTATTATGACAGGCCGAATAATCTAGAAGGCGAATCGATACTTTTCAATTGTAATGCACGCGACACTGTACTCACCCAACCATACGGACACGCAGGAAGAAAAAAAAATATATTAAAAAAATAAATCGCTCATAATAGAAGAGGATCTTTTAATAAAATGAATCGTCCGTGAGAGAGGAGGGTGGGGGATGAATAGTACTTAAGTCCCAAGCTCATAAAAAGTAGAATTTGTCGCACACTCAAACCAGGGGACATAAATATGAAGAAGACAATACCAATAAAAGTCGACAAAAGGGGGGATAAATTTGTTTTTCTTCTCGACGCGGGGAATTTAATACGTTTTTGTTAAATGGGATAAAAACCGTGAGTCATCAACATGGCGTCACAATCGGGATAAAAAGTTGTCAGATGTATGGCGTCATATGACGCACGTGAAAACTCGGATCACTAATATGGTGTCATAAATGTGATCAAAATTAGAGTCACTCATATGGCGTCATAAATGTGATCAAAACTAGAGTCACTCATATGGCGTCATAAATGTGATCAAAACTAGAGTCATCCACATGGCTTGAGAAAACGTGGATTTTTTTTTTTTTTACCTCGGCCTATCTTTGAATATACCACCCCTACCCCTCTACACTATGTCATTTTACCAGAGCAGGGTGGAGTCAGTGAAGCGTGCTGGGGATTTCGTTAATCCCAGATTATCGCGAAGACCGGGAATCAGCGGTCAAAAAGTGTGGGATCTAGGCCCGTTCAGACAGGCTGGGTACATCGGTGGTGCTTTAATCTGCAGGATAAAGGTTGGGTACTAGACACACTCACACACTTACTAGACACACTCACACACTTACAAGACACACAAACACATACTAGACACACTCACACATATACTAGACACACATATACTAGACACACACACATACTAGAAACACACACATACTAGACACGTGGCGGCCAATAGGGCAGGAGTTGAGGCCGTCTATTATTTCCTTGGCATGGGAGGGGATTATATGGTCAGTTCTATGTCCAGCCGCTTTTAATTTCACTTGCTTCAAAACTCAGTGGACAGACACCTCCTACGGGCTCAAACCCGTGATCCAAACACGAGACTCCGAGGTTAGCAGTCGTGCCCTCTACCACCCAACCACTAAGTCCCATATACCATACCACGCACGTTACTGA